GCGTATCTGTAAGAGACGACCCTGCCCCACGCGCAAGCCCTGAGTCTGTCCAGAGCAGAGAGAACTGGGAATAAAAAGGGGAAAGGAACCCAGCATTAATTTGGGAAAACACCCCAGCCATGATTAGCCACATCCAACCATGAGCAAAACTCCCGGGTCGCCTGGGCCTCCTCTCCTCTCACCTTTGCACCCCTCAACTGGAACCGGCTGGTTAGTTCATGGGGTCCTCTCTTCGCAGCCCATTGTCCTCCCACTGGCCAGAACCGGTTATGACTCCCGCGCTGGGCCTCCCGGTCACCAGGTCACCAGTTGCTGGGGTATCCATTATCCAGGCCATTGGATGGGGTCCCAAGTTCCCTCTCCGGTCCTCTGTAACAAGAAACTCCCTCTCCCTTCACCTCGTTAAACCAGTAACACCCAGGGGTACTGAGTCCCACTCCCTCTGCATGCAAACCATTGGAAAACCACAAAAAAATAAAAAAAATCCCCCACTTCGTCACATCTCTCCCCCCTTCGAGTCTGAACGAAGCAGGGTCACTTAGCTAGTGATCTGGGGAAGTCCAGGGCCCCTTCCCCGTGATACAGCAGCGGCTATAACATTGGCACTCCCACTCCCCCTGGCACAGCCCTCTAGACTGCACCCCCCTGGACCGGCAATGCCCCCTCTCGGTGGGCTTCCACCCAGTTGACACCCCGCGGGTTCTGCTTGGCCGCCATTTCCTTCATCTTCAAGCACTGTGGCACCTTGTTTCCCTTTTGGCCACAGTAATTACATCTCAGGTCCCTCAAGTCCCACCTTGGAGAGGTCTCAGGGTGACTCCCCTTCTGAGTCCCCAATGTGGGTCTTCCTCCTGCCCCCGAACTGCTGTCCACAAACTCATCTGCCAGTGCCCCTGCACTGCACAGATCTTTGGGCTTCTGGTCCACTAGCCACATCTTAAGGTCTGGAGGGCAGATGTCATACAGCTGCTCCAACCCCACCAGGTTATACACATCCTCTGCGGTAGTGGCCCCTGCGCCCTTTGTTGTCCCACAAACTTATACAGGATCGTTTTAGGGGTCAATGTCACATTTATTATTAATCTGTAACTATTAGCAAATACCTCAATGCTTATACACACACACTCACACACACACACACACACACACTCACACCAAAATGTTCTGCAGCTGCTGGATAGTTACCAGTCCTGATTGTAGTTTGAGTTTGCAGCTTGGGATCGTAGCTCGTGGCAGCTAACTGGCCAGGAAAGCTGAGCACGAGGGGGAGCCGGGTCTCTGTCGGGCGCGCACCGATGCTCCTTGATGTTGATAGCAGAACGTTACCCAAAGTCTCTCATCTCACCCTTCCTTTTTTATAGGAGTTTTGGATTCAAAGTCTCTAGGTCTCGCTGTGTCACGCCGCCTCTGGGTTTGGTACTTGATCACCCATCAATTGCAGACATGACTTTCAGCCTGGGACCGGGCTTTGATCTTTCTTCTGTTGTTTCTTTTTAAGGTGGATGCTTCTTGCTTGAATTAGGGCTGTTGTCTAGTTCTTCAGCCATTGGTATTTCAACTTTATCTCATCAGGACAGGCTGGTGCTGGAGGTTGATTCTATCACCCATACATCCCTCATTCACACATCTTAACTAGACTAATAAAATTACGGCAGGGTTTGCAAAAATGAAGG